GGAATAAAATTATTTTTATAACTGCATTGAGAGTGGAAGGGGAAGACAATGAGATGCTGTTGAAAGTAGAGCCCGACTGATTTATATCGGCCTATCACAGATATATCGGTATAGGCGCATATATTCTCCAATACGCGCTGATATGAATACTTTTGTTAAGAAGCAATAATGCAGTGGAAATGCTCGGGTCAAGTCTAGTTATAAAGGCAGCATTTTATGTATATTTGATCCTTTGAAAACAAAGGATGAAATGATGTTTTTTATTTATAGTCATTTATTTTTATAGTTATTTTATTTAATTCCCAGTGAAGTTTACCATTTCAGTGCACTGATGTCATTTTGGACAATAAAGTTTATTGTTAAACTGTAAAATATCTTGCTTTCATTACATATCTTTTTCACAAGTGTTTGTGTATATATATATATATATATATATATATACTATAAAATCAGCGCATACATCGATGTCAGAATTTTTTTTACTCCCTAATATCGGATCGGTCCCAAAAATCCAAATATCGGACGGCTCTAGTTGAAAGCTCTGGAAACAGGCTAGTAAGAGGATATCAGTCAACTACGGTTAGTTAAATGAACAATGACAGCTCGTACTGACTGGAATAGATATTCTGTTTAGAACATTCGTATCAGTTTATAAATACAATGTGCTTAAACATATAATACTCGTTATGACTAAAGTGCTTCTAATTAGATTTAATCACCGTCTGTCTCACCGTTCTTATCTTAATATCAAACCACCCACATGACACCTGACTGTATCATATTTGAAAGAGGACATAATGCTATTTCATTCCTCTCTCGCCCTTCACAGTTTAGAAGAGATACAGAAAGCCTACGGTTTAATTTGTAAGTAAACAAAACCACCATTACTACAGTGGCATCTCACTTGTAAACCCACTTACTAACACTGTAATGTATGTAAAGGATCTTTCTTTTAATTTGAAGAGAGATCTATTAGAACCTGTGCATGTTGGAGATCTATCCAACACAGTCTTTTTAAAAAAGATATTATCTGAAAGACTCACAAACTCTGTGATGAAGTTTAGTATTTTAAACTGCCACACCATGAAAAACCACAGTGACCTATTCTGTTCTGTTATCAGCTGCCTACAGAAATTAAGAAATTGTAAAAAGGAAAAATGTAATAGCAAAATCCACAAGGAAAGCTGGAGACTGAGCAGTCTGCCTGAATCTTCAAGTTTTCAGTGAATGATGTTTGTGATTTGACGAGGGTTAGGTCAGGAGAATTTATTTAAGATTTGGGGAAGTTGGAAATCTTATGTGATGCACCTTTCCTATCTTAAGTTAGGACAGGAACATTGACTTAGGAACCACTCTTCTCTGTATTGATCCTAACCCTTATTACCATTGTTACCAAACGACGTTTCTGTAACATCGTTAACCCTGTTCATTGATATGCAACTTTGACCACATGGAACCAGAAATATTAAAGGATCTACCATGGCATAAAAAGTATTAAAATTTTCTATCATCATATTATGTAATCCTACAAACTGCTGCAGCATTAAAATCCACACTAACATACTATTGGCTGGATAAAAGCACAGGGGTTAGCCTGAAAACTCATTAGCTGCTTAAAAACACATGTAACTGGCCCTAAGCTCCTGTCCATGCCTCTAAACTACCATCAACTGTAATCTCCTCCATCAGTGTTCACAGATCAACACTGGAAGAAATCAAAGGGCAGCAGTCCTCCAAAAAAACTCTATTTGAATGTTTATGTCCTCGTATTTTGCCGCTAAAATTATCCCCATTTCCCACAAATCCTTTTAATAGCCTTTACAACTAGAACATGTACTTCCCCTTCCCCATTAGACCAAAGATTTAATAGAACAAGGACATGATTTATTGATCTTAAAAAGAGAAATCAGCAACTTTACGTACTGTAGGTTTGCCAGCCAGTACTAAACTTACACTGTGACCAAGCATGATCTCGACAACGACGCCCTTTGTGCTCCTGGCCGCCTGAAGCCATGTCCAGAGGGACTTTATTCCCAGGAACGGTCAGTAATTTGATTTGCTATAGAATCACAGTAATTGCAGTCAGTCATCTGCACATTAAAAAAAAATTGTTCTTTGGAATAATTGTCGTTTAAATCCGAGACAATTAAAGAGCATATAGGTGGAGGAGGATCTCTGAGCAGAACACAAGGGGCAGATAGTCCTGAGGTGTGATGGATTCCAGGTCGAGGACTTGCCGCAGCTGTAACTTAGTTGTGAGGTAAGGTATCAAAGCACAGCCGGGTGTTTGCATGTAAAGACAATCAAAGATCTCTTGGAGGAGGCAGAAGATAAAACTGGATAACAAGTGACTGGATAACAAGGCCCTGGAGAGCCATATTAGAGATTACACAAGCCCTTCCCCTGGCCTGTGGGGTGGTGTGGGGTGTGAATGCTGACACCGCTATTGGTCAGTGAATCTCAGCCCCAAAATCATTCAGAAATTACAAATTACAATTTCTTCCGGACGCGATACCAAATTCAATTTCCCTTCTAAATGACCTCGACAAAATACAACGATTACAAAGATTACAGAATAGTCCAAAAATGAAAAGAAATTTATAGAGTTTTTCTAGCAAAACTTTATTTTTTCTTCTTTCCAGCCTCAGTAATCACCTCTAAACCTCCTCAGATTTATCTTGGTTGGGTTTGGAATGATGCCGTGTCCCACTTCCTCCAGCAACGCTGCTCTAGTGACCCTCGTGCTACTGTTGCTTAACCACTGAACTTAACTACCGTCTAGTAATATATTAAAAAACAATATAATAATCGGTTTTATAGTTTTATAGAACAAGTACTTCAAGCATTTTTTGCTGATTTTACATCTGTCCTTTTACTTAAGAATGACTATGAATGCAGGACTTTTACCTGTAGTGGAGTATTTTTACATTGTGGTGTGTTGTTACATTTACTTAAATTAAAGATCTGAGTACTTCTCTGAGCTGCAGCTGCTCCGGGGCCCCGGCCACTGACTATGTTAGCTTACTGACACGCTTAAAATGGAACAGAGCCAATGTTAACAGTATTAATATCTGATGAATCGGAAGGTCTGATGCGGGCTTGTTTGATCGGCCGTAGCCTCACAGTATTCACTGTTTATTCATTTATTTTGCATGGCTCTCTGGTCAGTTAGATGGGAGAGTTTTTGAGTTATTTCTTCTTCTCTCTCCCCACTCTTTCTCCTGAAATAGGCGGAAACAGGAATAGAAATAAGCCGCCCACCCTGAGTCTGGTTCTGTTAGAAGTTTTTCTTCTCCACTGTCTCCAAGTGCTGCTCCTGATGGGAACCTTTGGGTTTCCCTCCGTAATATTGTCTTGACCTTTCTCTGCAAAGTGCCTTGAAATCATTTATGTTACAATTTGGCGCTATTTAAGGAAAGTTGAACTGAATTGAATTAAATATAATTACATTTGGCCATCCGCAGTACTGGTCAGTAATTGCTATCAATTAGCTGCATGTGTACCACTGTGTGGCTAACTGTTAGAGCTTCTTACATTTGCTAACTCACATGTCTCTGGTTTGTCTTCAAACGAGAAAACACAGTGACCTAAAAACATTAACAGGTGACATGATCATATGCATCACTATTGTCTTTGATCCATCTTTTATGTATTTCTTTACAGCATTTATTTGACATTAACCAAGATTACATTACAGCTAAAAGAATTGCATTTCATTACTGCATGGATTGTGCTAAAGCAATAAATTAGAAATACCATAATACGCTTCAATAGGATATTTCAAGAGCATAAAATGAAACTAAAGTAATTCCAGCAATTACAACAATACAAAACTACAATGTTTCCAGTTGTGCTACAGTACAGATGTGTTTTCCAAAGAGAGATAATACCAGTGACATTGATGCAAACAAAAACATCTGTAGTGGAATTGCAGAACGGAGCAGAGGTCTGAGTAACTGAGCGGATAACGCAGCTCATGGAGAAGATTGAAACACTGCACCAAATACATCAGAGTGAGCAATACATTGACTCTGTAACACCTAACGCACAAGGTGCCAAGACACAAAATGCTAACAGACGGAGACAGATTTTTTCATACAAAGGATTACATCAAATGTAGAGCATCCTGTCATGGGCTGGGCTGACACACTCCCCTGGATGTGTCCTGTTGCCCCCAGATTAGCTGGCTCCCAAATCAGCCTCCTTTGAACCCAAGGAAGCTAATCACACCACTAGCATTAAAGCTAATCAAAAACCAAGAAATAGCTCCAAATCCACAGCAAAAAACACCCCTAACTCCACACCTGATGAGGCAAACATCCTTCAGACCAAGTATGTAAGAATGGCACAGACTGAAATTGTAACTATGGCTGAAACATCTGTAAGGGTAATATAAGAGATTTATTATCCACGCTGGGTCTTTTGACATTTACAAAAGACAAGTGGCTCTGAGATCCTGACACAAACACTTTTCCCTGCTGCTGGAGAAATTGTTGATTGAATTGATGACGTGTATCGCTCCCCCCCTCACCGCACCCACTGCTCCACATCCCTCTCAGTAGATACACTCACAGGTCTCTTGCATATTGTCATTGTTCTAAGAGACACACGTGTTCAAAGCGAAAAATTGCACAACTATAGACAATAAAACACTGCACAGCAGCACGGGGACTATGAACTATGGCATTCCTTCATATGCAGTCTGTCAAAGTAAAATCTAACCTTAATCACAGCTGCCTGTGTCCTGCACACCAACATCTGGAGAGTTCAACCAACTAACATGACAAACCTAAACCGAACTGCTTCTTAGTGGCTTCATAACATGTTACGTGCTCTCTGATATCAGTGTACGTGAGTAAGTTCAGGTTCTGGTTATTGTATGCGCCATCTTTCTTCCTCTGTTTGATTGCAGCAACACTTGATATCACATTCAGTCCAAAGATGAAATAAACATTTATGCAGAGATGAAGAGGGAGTATTTTTCACAATAAGAGACCGACCTATGATGCAGATGTAAAAAGCCGCCACCATATCCGCCTCCCTGGAGAGTCTCGAGGCGAACGGGTCGCCACGGAGCAGATAATGGGGGACAAATGAGGGGTGCGGCCACGTCTCGTTCTCCATCACTGCCATCAATGGGGAATGCCCTGTGAAGTGGAGGAAAAGGCTGAAACAATGAAGGCGCTTCCACACACACACACATATGGCATCAGGTAAGCAGGACACATAACTGCATAAATAGACCCACAAAACAATTCATGAGCCAATATATATCATGACTCCCCACAAGCCAGCAATCAGAAACAGATGCCACAGGTGTCAACAAGAGATTGCCTTATGTCACTCTAGCAGTGAAGGAAAACCAGCAGCACATTTTTCAGCTTTCCTGACTGATGAGATGATGATGAGCGACTGAGTGAGGTCTAACTCATTTGTGCAGGTTCAAGAAAACAGAAAAGGAACCCCACAGTTTTTCTTCACAGAAGACACAGTAAGAAAACACACAGGTGTAAATAATAAAATGAAGCACGGCTAAATTTCATTTAGCTGCTGATATGTAACATAGCAAATTGTAAACCTGTAATACAGACCAAAGTGAAAAGTGAAGAGCCAGTGTTAGCTAGTTCTACAGATTCAAAATGTGGCAGAATTAACTTAAATTAGCGGCTAACATTAGCTGCTCCCATTAATATTGTCTCTTCACTATAATGCTCAACAATAAACCAAGCTCACAACCTAGTTAGCCAGTTAGATATGTAGCATGCACAGTCGTTACAATAAGTAAATTAAAGATGTTACTTATGTTCTGTGTCAGATAGTCGGCATTGTTGTTGCTAACAGGTGCTAACTGGCTAAATGTGGTAGCAGCTGAGCTTATTTGTTTAAGAGGCAGGCGACATGTGATGACAACACCACTGTCAAACATGTAATAATAAAATAAAAACGGACTTTTAAAATAAAAAGAAAAAATAAAAGCCTTTTGAAATACAAGTGTCTATAATCAAATAAAAACAAATGTATTAATGCGATTATTCATTTTAAAATTGTTAATTTATCTAAATGTTTATTTAATTATAAAAAATATAAAATATTTTTTTACTATAACAGATTTTAGAGGAAAAAAAACAAGCCAGCTTTCAGTGCAGATCAAGTTAGGTCAGGATTCTTACACAGACAGATCAGAGTAGTTTGTATTGTATTGTATTCTTGTCCCTTGTGTCTTATTGGGGTCCTGTGTTACACTTACACCTGGCTGGTGATTCTGTGAATGGGAGGAAGCACATGGCTGTTTACACGACTGGGCAAGAAACATGTAAAAGGTAGCTTAATATACTTTGATATGGCTTAAAAAACAACTTGCATAAAAGTACTGTTCAGTATAATACCCCTGTGATAAGCGTCTGTAATAGGAACATTTTCGGTGAGGTAATGGAGTCATATCTACGCCTCTTTCCTTCAGGAGAACATACACATGCCCTCATTTAAACATAGCTTACACAACAACCAAAGAAAAACCACACCTGATATAGATTTTAAATCTTCCTATCCTATGCATGACATAGGGCCTACGTTATGTTACCTGCTACATCTCTGCTCTCCAACATTTTTTCACTCTGACCAATAAAAAAAAGAAAATCCAATTCTGTCAGGAACACTCTCCTTCAAATTTACTGTCGGTGTCCCGGTGAGCTCGGTTCAAAGCAACTGCTTCCCAATCTGAAGGTCATCTCAAAGGAACCCCTGCTTCTCCCCGTGGTAATAAAATGAAATGAGCCAAGACATGGCAACATATTGGGTGTTATCTCTACATATATGACAACAAATTTTATGGTGAAATATATAGCTGAAATTCCTGGTGCATTATAGAAACAGTGATAAGGCAATAGTACAGCAAGCAGCTGGGAATGCAGTGAAGCTGCTGACAGCAACAAAAGGACCAGAGACCGAATAACAGTCTTTAGCTGTGTGGAGCCATACGCTTAAACAGATTGCTCTTTGATGTGGAATGTGTGTGTGGGTGGATATTTGGCCCTCAAGCTGATTGCCCATTTCAATTGACAGGGCTAATGACTTGTTGTCCCATGAAAACCTATGATAAAACATTTGCACCCTATACACTTGGGCTGTCTCTTTTTAGGGATAGTGGTAGAGAACAGTCTCTTATCTTATTGGTGGGGAGGTAATGAGACGACGTGACCCGATGTCATGACAGCAATCATTGAAGAAGCAAGGTGCGGCAGTGGGAAACAACAAACAGCCCAATATCATTCAAAATTATTGACTTCTGTTCCATATCCTGTTGCCCAAACAGTAAGCTAAGCTATAGTTGCTCTCTTTGCTAATGCAAAAAATATAAAAACAGGTGATCTGTGATTAACAGAGAGTCATGACTTCAAAACATCTGAGAAGCAATGGAGGGATGCATCTTGGTTTCAACACCCTCCCTGAAAAAAATGGTGAATTAAGGTAAAGCTGTTGGCTGCTTTTAAAGTAACGTTAGCTTGTCATACAACGTTAGCTTGTCTTACAGCGTAAATTGTGTTTGAAATGAGAGCTGCAATTTCAAATAATGTTTACACACATACACACACACACCTCAAAGTGAACATTTACTTTTTAAAGACTAAAGAGAAAGAAAAAGAAACTGTGCTGGTTCTTCCAGCTAATAATCAATGTGTGTCCTCCATTAGAGAAGGGAATAGAGGTGGCAATTAGGAGTCACTTTGCTGATTCAAATTCTTTCATTCAGTTCAGGTGAATGGTAAATATTAGTACATTATCTGTGTTTGTGTACAATTAAGTGATAATTGCGAACACTGTAATTAAGGCCGCGGTACCATGAAGCTGTTTACAAGATTCTATGAAGAAAAGTAATCAATTCTTCAGGTCATACATTTGGAAAAAAGATGGCTTATAGCTGAAACGCTGTCGTTGCTTGCCCCACATTAAATAATAAGACTATTTTCCTGTGAGTGCCGGCACCTTGTTTATCATACATTTGGAGAACCTGTTGGATATAGAGAAGGTTTGTAGTCCAGCGCTTTTAAATAAGACTGAACTAACAGAGTAGGCTCAGACATTTCACTGATGAAAAGTGGATATAACACTTTAATACACATATTTATGAAATGCAGCATCCACCATGTCCAAGCTGTGTACAATATGATCCATCATACAATCTATCAACTTGATGTGCACCAAACAGCCCTATCACTGGACAGAACATTTTTAGATATTGGTTGATTACTATATCTGCACATGCAACTGCAATTTGATTAATGTGTGGTGAATGTCAGAGAGGTTAAGGTCTTATATCCAATATTAGTCTGAGACAAGAAGCAATCTCCAGTCTGTTGTGTGAAAGTCACATGCACTGCACACTCCTCCATCAGCCTGACCTCCACATCCTTTGTTTTCACTTCACTGCACAAAGAACACACTTCAATCTGTGTCAACACTGAACATTATACTTATACTAGAAAATGCAATATCTGGAGAAACTGCGCTGTGATTGCTGGCTTCTGCAGAAGATTAACCTAAACTGGGTTGCTGGTTTGAAATTGTATGAAGAAGCAGTTGAAGTAGTATTAAGAGTTAGATTTAGAGGAGCTATTTGTAAGTTTTGCTATTGCTACATCGCCAGTGTTAGCATTAACAGCTGTTTACTTAACAGTCTTGCCAATAGCTTCAGTCATTGTGTATTTTACAATACAAGAGGTTATAATAAGCCCTCAGAGCAGTGCTACTTCTTCAAGGCAGATTGGACGTTACAGAGACTCAGGATCGGTAAGTGGCGAGACGGGCCTGCCGGGCTGGAGCTAGCAGGTAAGCATGCAAACTCAACTTTGTCAACTTTTTGTCCAGTACAGCGCAGGCACGTGTTCCAGTGAATTGACTCCTTACAGTACCATGCTTGTTTAACTTAATGTCCACAGTCTGTAGATGATGATGATGATGAATCAAATCCATAACACCAGCTCATGAAGCATGTACCACACAACAACCTTTGTAGTCAGGGCTCACTAACAAGGTATTCAAAAGCAACACTGCCACCACATCAGATCCACACATGCAAACAACAACAGCAGACCATGTCACCAGATAAATCTGAGGAGTCATCAGATGATTAATCAGAGAGGATAGAAGAAAAAACAAAGTTCTGGTTCACTAATCTGTTTTCAGTTTTTGTTCTCTAATCTTTGATTTTTGGTGAGATATTTGATTATTTCAACATTCATGGAAATTAAACCATGTGAGAAGTTTAGAGGGATAAAATCCCAATTTCCTGGATTGTAAACAACTCACACATCTGAAATCTGACCCATATTAAACACTGCTTTTTATAAGATGTAAGAAACCAAAACGTTGAAATGTACTTAATTACTTTGAGTGAAAGCAAAGAGGGTGTTTCTTTAAAACCTAATATCAAACAGGTAAAAGACTAACTAAGCCACCACAGCCACACAAAAGATTACTAAAATGAATAATAAACTCTATATCAATGTCAAAACTTATCTCTCAACAACTAATCGCCCAACTGTCTCACTGTTCATGACTGAGCACCAGTGTTTGCTAACATTAGATACTGGTAATGAAATGACAAGCTAACGTTGGAAATGAATGGGCGCTGTCTGCTAGCTATCGTTAGTTAGCTAAACTGTAACTTGACGCAAAAGTTAAGATAAGATAACATCAGCGTTCGTCTGCAGATACTTCACACAGTCTAATTCAGAAACAGTGGGTAAGACAGTAAAGTGTATGAAGCCAACTGGGTAGTTTGCTACTGCCACTTACATTTGTCATCACTGTCGTACGGGGACACGGACGCAACGCGAGCAACCGGCGCGAGTAAGGAAAGTAAACAAGATTTAACGTGAGGGTTAGGAAATGGTACGGTCCATTTAAGGGGTGTCTGAAATCGTATCACAGGATTCTTCCAAGCATGAATATAGGAAATATATTGTAATAGTTATAATTACAGGTTAGAAAAAAATATATATAAAAAAATTTGTTTTGTTTTGTTTTGTTTTGTTTTGTTTTGTTTTGTTTTGTTTTGTTTTGTTTTGTTTTGTTCAAATTCATAACACTGACAGATTATCGTTATAAAATTGCTTGTTATTATTATAGCCCTG